TGCACACACTCCCTGAATATCAACATCTTATCCTCAAGAATACCACCACCTGTTGTCTCGTCACTCACCTCAACAGCCACATCAACAGATCCATTGATTCACCTCAAATAGAACAGAATACACGTACGAGGAATCTGTCCTGAAAAACCCATCAGTCCTTGTAAACTCCACCATCCAGACATGAAGTAATTCGACAATTCCAACAGAATTGTAAGGCTGATAAGTCGCCAGATTGAATGACCTGTGCTGTAACACAATATATACCACTAATTCACACGTGAAGTCCGAAACCACTCACGTCAACCAACAGTGATCGTCAGCCACATCGAAGCCACCTAAACACACAACGCTTCTTTCCACCTTCTCCACTACACCTCATCCACAGCGTTATCGAAGCAACTCAGCTCACATACACCAATCAGTTAGAATCAACCGAATTCGAGTTAGCCAACACACTGAATTGACAACACATTGAATGCAATCAGTTACTTGCAAACTAGTCAGTTCCAGGGGGAACCACACCACAGAATCCTTCCGAAACACAAACGATTCAGATCACATAGCCTGACCAGTCCGTCAAATGTTGTCACAAAACTGACTTCAGACACACACAAAGTCAACAGTCACACTCGACGACTAACTCAACTGAAACAGAGTACAACTACAGCAGGAATGCAAACACTCAGACTGTAGATCCGAAATCAGAGTATCACAGCATCGACGTTTCAATTCACCCCCGATCAAATGACACATCCCAAACAAATCGATTGATTTCCAAGAGACCTGTCAACACATCAACTCCGTCTGACATCCAAAGGCGACCACCTCTCCTACATGCCATTCTAGTACATGCATGTTTAGACTAAATCACCTAGGCTGCAATGTCGCAGAAACTCGTCAAGTACAACCTTCAAAGTGACACTCACATCACCAGTTATCCAAACCAATCTAGATTGTTTGAAATCACGTTGGCTAGTGTATGACGGAATCCGGAGAAAACAACACAGTTTCCTGTCTCACTGTGTCCTCTCACTCACATCGGAAGCCACACTCACAAACTCATCAAAACATCCCAATCAACTTCCTTCCACAATGCGACAACCACCCTCCTGAGGTTGTCGTCAACATTCCCCTTCATACACTGCTCACTCACTCATCCACTGACTTCACAATCTCATACTGCATTCCACAGATATCTCCTGGCCTCACCAATCAATCAAGATAATTTGTCATCGAAACATCATACTCAATGAACACTACAATCAAATTCAGTCATAACCACATCATTAGTGTCGAGAAACCATCGACTCTGGTCGAAATCCGAAGCCCGAATAAATCCAACACTCCACTAACCAACCACAATGCTTTCATCCCTCCTAACACACACACACACACACACACACAAACCGACACACATTCACACCTCCGACAACTCCTGAAATTCACCGATCAACTTCGAGAAGAATCGGTCCCACGTGCACTGTATCGACTGGAATTCAGTGGACAATGCATGCTTGTCGACCTCTGCCTCAACAGACACAACCGCCCTTCACCTTCGACTAACTGCCGACACTTCCATTACCACAATTAGAAAAAATACTCTACTCTGCATAATAATGACAATGACGATGACGCACCACTCTCACTACGAATAATCGAAAAACACATATCGAGGGTGCACACACTCCCTGAATATCAACATCTTATCCTCAAGAATACCACCACCTGTTGTCTCGTCACTCACCTCAACAGCCACATCAACAGATCCATTGATTCACCTCAAATAGAACAGAATACACGTACGAGGAATCTGTCCTGAAAAACCCATCAGTCCTTGTAAACTCCACCATCCAGACATGAAGTAATTCGACAATTCCAACAGAATTGTAAGGCTGATAAGTCGCCAGATTGAATGACCTGTGCTGTAACACAATATATACCACTAATTCACACGTGAAGTCCGAAACCACTCACGTCAACCAACAGTGATCGTCAGCCACATCGAAGCCACCTAAACACACAACGCTTCTTTCCACCTTCTCCACTACACCTCATCCACAGCGTTATCGAAGCAACTCAGCTCACATACACCAATCAGTTAGAATCAACCGAATTCGAGTTAGCCAACACACTGAATTGACAACACATTGAATGCAATCAGTTACTTGCAAACTAGTCAGTTCCAGGGGGAACCACACCACAGAATCCTTCCGAAACACAAACGATTCAGATCACATAGCCTGACCAGTCCGTCAAATGTTGTCACAAAACTGACTTCAGACACACACAAAGTCAACAGTCACACTCGACGACTAACTCAACTGAAACAGAGTACAACTACAGCAGGAATGCAAACACTCAGACTGTAGATCCGAAATCAGAGTATCACAGCATCGACGTTTCAATTCACCCCCGATCAAATGACACATCCCAAACAAATCGATTGATTTCCAAGAGACCTGTCAACACATCAACTCCGTCTGACATCCAAAGGCGACCACCTCTCCTACATGCCATTCTAGTGCATGCATGTTTAGACTAAATCACCTAGGCTGCAATGTCGCAGAAACTCGTCAAGTACAACCTTCAAAGTGACACTCACATCACCAGTTATCCAAACCAATCTAGATTGTTTGAAATCACGTTGGCTAGTGTATGACGGAATCCGGAGAAAACAACACAGTTTCCTGTCTCACTGTGTCCTCTCACTCACATCGGAAGCCACACTCACAAACTCATCAAAACATCCCAATCAACTTCCTTCCACAATGCGACAACCACCCTCCTGAGGTTGTCGTCAACATTCCCCTTCATACACTGCTCACTCACTCATCCACTGACTTCACAATCTCATACTGCATTCCACAGATATCTCCTGGCCTCACCAATCAATCAAGATAATTTGTCATCGAAACATCATACTCAATGAACACTACAATCAAATTCAGTCATAACCACATCATTAGTGTCGAGAAACCATCGACTCTGGTCGAAATCCGAAGCCCGAATAAATCCAACACTCCACTAACCAACCACAATGCTTTCATCCCTCCTAACACACACACACACACACACACACACACAAACCGACACACATTCACACCTCCGACAACTCCTGAAATTCACCGATCAACTTCGAGAAGAATCGGTCCCACGTGCACTGTATCGACTGGAATTCAGTGGACAATGCATGCTTGTCGACCTCTGCCTCAACAGACACAACCGCCCTTCACCTTCGACTAACTGCCGACACTTCCATTACCACAATTAGAAAAAATACTCTACTCTGCATAATAATGACAATGACGATGACGCACCACTCTCACTACGAATAATCGAAAAACACATATCGAGGGTGCACACACTCCCTGAATATCAACATCTTATCCTCAAGAATACCACCACCTGTTGTCTCGTCACTCACCTCAACAGCCACATCAACAGATCCATTGATTCACCTCAAATAGAACAGAATACACGTACGAGGAATCTGTCCTGAAAAACCCATCAGTCCTTGTAAACTCCACCATCCAGACATGAAGTAATTCGACAATTCCAACAGAATTGTAAGGCTGATAAGTCGCCAGATTGAATGACCTGTGCTGTAACACAATATATACCACTAATTCACACGTGAAGTCCGAAACCACTCACGTCAACCAACAGTGATCGTCAGCCACATCGAAGCCACCTAAACACACAACGCTTCTTTCCACCTTCTCCACTACACCTCATCCACAGCGTTATCGAAGCAACTCAGCTCACATACACCAATCAGTTAGAATCAACCGAATTCGAGTTAGCCAACACACTGAATTGACAACACATTGAATGCAATCAGTTACTTGCAAACTAGTCAGTTCCAGGGGGAACCACACCACAGAATCCTTCCGAAACACAAACGATTCAGATCACATAGCCTGACCAGTCCGTCAAATGTTGTCACAAAACTGACTTCAGACACACACAAAGTCAACAGTCACACTCGACGACTAACTCAACTGAAACAGAGTACAACTACAGCAGGAATGCAAACACTCAGACTGTAGATCCGAAATCAGAGTATCACAGCATCGACGTTTCAATTCACCCCCGATCAAATGACACATCCCAAACAAATCGATTGATTTCCAAGAGACCTGTCAACACATCAACTCCGTCTGACATCCAAAGGCGACCACCTCTCCTACATGCCATTCTAGTACATGCATGTTTAGACTAAATCACCTAGGCTGCAATGTCGCAGAAACTCGTCAAGTACAACCTTCAAAGTGACACTCACATCACCAGTTATCCAAACCAATCTAGATTGTTTGAAATCACGTTGGCTAGTGTATGACGGCTTCTGGAGAACTCAGGAGTTTATTATTCTAATAGGTTCACATCATGTTTTTACTTGGGTGTGTAGTGGAGATGTGATATTTTTGTGTGAGTTTTGGACTTATATATGAGAAGTCTATCGCAGTTGGTGTGGTAAGTTAGTATGATGGAGAGTTCTTAGTCCATCGAATTGCTTTATTGAAGCTTCCTACAAGTGAGGACTTGAAGTTCTAGGGTGTTCGCATAGCACGTTTAGTGACTAACGTATGCGGAAATCCATGTTATTCGCTAATATATGGGAATGTTTGAATTGTTAATCAGTGCCCAGTCTTTTCATCATAACTGTAGTTTTATGTCAACAAACACACACCGCAAGACTGTCTGTTTATTCCTACTTTCATGAATGACATGCATGCTATAAATGAGTGGTATATATATATATATATATATATATATATATATATATATATGTATATATATATATGTATATATATATATACAGATGTATATGTATATATAATGGTTAAGAATATATGAAATACCGTTGGATTTAATCGTTATGAAACAGGCACCATTATAAAGGAGTCATAAATTTAATTATAGTAAATGAACCTTCGACTTGTTAATAATTTTGCATCAATATTTATTGTTATAAAATAGAGTACACGAGTAGTCCATGGTTAATCAAGATATTGGGCAAGCCAATTAAACGCCTCACCATATCCCTGTCGTTTTAGAATGCTGCACATAAACAGTTCTATGGGTCTTCCTGTGGGTATCTGGGATTTCTGAATTACTCCTTTTCCTGTTGTGATTCCCTGTAATCCCAAGAAATATCGTAATTCTTCTTCACTGGCGGCACCCGGCTTATCTATTTTATTCCCAAGTATTAGTATAGGTGCATGGGCTATTTGCTCGTCCTGAAGTAGATTATCCAACTCCTTTTTAGACTCTAAGAACCTTTTTGAATTTTGAAGAAATGTCTGTAGAAACCAACCTGTTTCGATCATATGCATCCACCATGAAGACAAGCCCGTCAACAGCAGGGATGTAGTTTTTCCATACACGCCTTGCCTGTTCATGACCACCGAGATCAAACGTAGTAAAAGTCATCCCACCAATCGACAACTCCTCAGAGGTCGGGTGTAGGGTAGGAACATGCTGAGCCATACGATCATCTTTCAAACGATGAAGGAGTGTAGTCTTTCCAGCGTTATCTAACCCCAAAAAGACAAGCTTTCCATTTTTCTGCCGCAAACCAAGATAACTGAGAACTTTTGAGACAGAACCATAAACCCAATCCCAAATAAAACTCATGGCTTATTCTCAATTCCAAAAGTGTCGTCGTAGATGGTGTACCGACATAGTTCCTAATAAGGACCGACACGGGGTGATTGTTAGTGCAGATAAACAATTTTCAAAGGGCAATTCCATTTAATTTATAAAAACTAGGAATTGAGTACCTTGCATTTCATTTATGAAGAACAGACATAATTGTACACTATTCCACAGAGTCTGTGCCTTAATATACTTACTAAGTTGTCCTTCCCAAGATATTTGTGACGAATATATTAAATAAATTTAGGCTCACTTTGTGATATAAGGATGCGAATCTGCAATCGTCGGTGGGTCTCTGAGGAGTTCCTACAGTAGACTATATTTTTTGACTCTTGTTATTCTTAAATCTAAGAGCTTCCGTGTAACACCCCTGTGACTTCTAATCTAACCACCACTTACTTTACCTTGATTGGAGGAATGCTACGTTTATCTTATTCTATTTTTGCTACTTGAATCTATTCCACTGCATTTAATCTTCACCTTCATCATTTCCACCATCATGGGTCTAGTAGGGAATGTTTGCCACTCAGAGAAGAATATCAATGGCGTCTACGGAATTCCTCGTGAGCGAACCAAGAATGCCGATCGTTTTATATGGTGCTGTTCAGATAGTCGTGTGTTTCTGGTCATTTTGAACTTCCGGAACAGAGCTATCATGAAATCAACAATGGGATCAAGCAGATCACATAGCAGTAAGCTATCATTGTTGACTTATTCCATCTGGAACACTTTCATAGATTTTCATCAAGCCCTAGTCAGTACACGTCAGGCATCGGTGAGGCCGCTGCACCTGTAAATTCACAAGGACATAAACGACCTATTCGGGCTGATAAACATGAGGAAGGTGATTCCAGAGGGCTGCAAACTTGATGAGTAGCGAAGTCTAAGGAAAAGTGAAACGATAAAATTTGTTCTCATTCACCGTTAACAATGTAGGATAACGAGAGGGAAAGAATGGCAAAGACATTAGCAATAAAGAAAGCCAGAAAACCACTTAGGCTTATAAAGTATATAGTTTGCCAAAGATGGGTAATGAACTGAGCCTTAATCAGCATTACGGTAAGATAGTTGAAACTCTGGGAGTAACATCCTGGGGATCAATTTAACTGGCTTACACATACCCTACTGGCCCAGCATCCAATACCTGACTGAATGGGATATCGACATCAGTCATACATCTTTGTCTTGGGATACATTGCTTCAATAAGGAAGCTTTGTTCGAAGTTATAGTTGTATGTGAGCTTACGAAGAGTCACCATTTGAACCAGTGTGGTTGATCAGGAATCCGAACTGACTCCAACTGACGTTAGCTCCTCAGAAACTGACCTGTCAACAGCAAACGTTCTTGCTGGCTAGAATACGAGGTAGGTATTCTCCGTGATCAGGATACCAGAATCCTTATTCATCGAGCCTACACTCAACACGTGCAACAGAAATGACTCAATGCAAATACCAGAAATATGTAAAATATCATTACCGCAGGTCAAATCAGAAGAGGATAATAAATAATCTTAAAATTCTATTTCAACTCAAACACATCACAACATTCCATTAAGTGGCTTATCATGACTGTAAAAACACTCGTATTATTGATCAATAACACTCGTATTATTACTTCTGAATGTGCATTATCTCATACTGATTTTATCCCAATATCCAATCGATTCCACACATGTATATGAATCAAAGAAAAAAGTTGTGTGAGTAACTTGATATGATTATGAGCAATAGTTTATGCTCGAAACGTCATCAGTTAATATGACTGAACAACACTGTATGGTTTATCCATAATGGAGTTATACTCTACCGCAGTGCCCAAGTTTTATGCTTATATCAATTATTCTTCGTATTTGTTGGATATTCGACTTTCCCCGCATCTGCAAGTCTTCTTTGGAACTTTTCTGGATCTTTCGGTCAAGTTCAATAATGTCTGGGTCAAAGAAGGGACAGAGTGTTTTGGAAGCAAACAGGAAAGTAAGTAATGTTGACTTGTCTGTTACATGTAACGATGTGTTTGATGTTAAGTATGACATGGTTGATGTTAATGTTTCGCCGTCTAGGGATATAAGAATATCAAGCTTCCTAAGAACGAACCTTGGTGTTTCGACGGAAACCCAGCGGACTACCCACGGTTTCAGTAAATGAAAAATCCCCATATTGAAATCAAAACAAGATTTTGAGCGAACAATTGTTTTCGATAACTTCTTCTTCAGGCTCTACAGTTATAAATCCATGAATAATAGAGTACATATAGCCAGTAAAGGCAAATGAAAATAATATCAGAAACTGTATTGGGGTGCATGTGTAAGTTGAGGTGATAGTCCATTAGTTAGCATAGTCAATTAAATGTGTATAGGGTGTTTAGTCAGAAAAATGTGATGAAGTGTGAATGAACAATTAGGTGATATAGTGTAGTTTTATAGTTAACAGAATACAAGTGTCCTTGGGGTGAGAAAATGCGATAACCACAAAATACATGTAAAGACACGTTAAAAAATGAGGCACTGGATATGAGGGCTGACCGATAATGTCTAATGATAAAATAAAGGGGCTAAATTGTAAATTGTAATAAAATGCTACAGAATTGGTAGGTTTAGTATAAAATCATAAAGGTTGACAAAGTAAGGGTAACAATGAGGTGAAATAAACTGGTTGGAGAAATGGATAATAAAGACATGATATCACAAAATAATAATAATGATAATAATAGTACGAAAAGATTATGATCCTGGTGACCTTATAGTGGGCCAGGGTAGACAAAGAGAGTGAATAAGTTTTTTCTGTACACATAGATCTGGTCTTTCTCTATTAATCTCTAAAGCCTCAGCTATGGCTAGGAGGCGTAATCGTGTGCCTTTGGGGAGATTGTTCGGTACCCGATACGCAACTGTAAATGACTCATCTACTTTGATGCTGTGTTCGCTATCCACTAGATGAGACAGAATTGCACTATTAATTGATTTGGTTGTTCTTTTCCCAAGCCAAACAGGAATATGTTCACGAGTGCGTAGAGATAAATTCCTCTGGGTACGACCTATATAACTAGCTCCACAGGAGCAGCTAAATTTATATACACACATTGATGTCGCCATTTTGGGCAATCTATCTTTAATGCACGGTGTCAATATCGGTTTGGTTGAGAAACTGACATACAGTTTTGCGGCACTAAAAGTTCTTTCAATTGATCTTGTTAATCTACGGTTTAATATATCACTGGCTATATCACCTTTGAATTGTACATTTAAGTAAAGCTTTTTCTTACTTACTGTGTCTCGCTTGGTATTATGTGTAGTTTCGTAGATATACTTCTTTACAAAGTTGGTAGGGTAGTCATTTTGTAGCAAGGCGTTTGTAAGATTTTTTATTTCATCTTCAATACAATCCTCGGTACATATGCGTCTAATTCTATGACTAAGACAGCGAATTAGGTTGCGCTTATATTGTATAGGTATGAAGCTATGGAAGTGGGTGTATTGTCCGTTCCACGTCGCTTTCCTATAGATGTTTCTTTTCAAGGTACCGTCTGATCTTTTTGTGAGAAGGACATCGAGAAATGGAATACTACCTTGTAGTTCCTCTTCACAAGTGAATTTAATAGCTGGGTGTACCTTATTGAAGACTTGCAGCAGATGTTGTTTATCCAAATTATTGTTACAAATGATAAATGATAAACCTACCAATTCTGTAGCATTTTATTACAATTTACAATTTAGCCCCTTTATTTTATCATTAGACATTATCGGTCAGCCCTCATATCCAGTGCCTCATTTTTTAACGTGTCTCTACATGTATTTTGTGGTTATCGCATTTTCTCACCCCAAGGACACTTGTATTCTGTTAACTATAAAACTACACTATATCGCCTAATTGTTCATTCACACTTCATCACATTTTTCTGACTAAACACCCTATACACATTTAATTGACTATGCTAACTAATGGACTATCGCCTCAACTTACACATGCACCCCAATACAGTTTCTGATATTATTTCATTTGCCTTTACTGGCTATATGTACCCACGGTTTATCAAGCAGTTTGAGATCATGTTGAGTGGTTTTATTTTAACTGATGAAATGAAGTTGGTGTATTTGATGAGGTAGTGCACTGGAGTTGCTTCAAGAGCCACACAGTGCTGCAAGTTCATGTTCTCGAACGAAGGATATACAGAGGCTATGAGGATACTACGTCGAAGGTTTGGAAAACCATTTATGATATCACGTAGTATTTTTGAGACAGTGAAAGGTAATGGATCACAGTAAACGACAATTCAAAGGAACTCGCAGAGTTCTTGGACAGTTCAATGTTATATAGAAATAAACTTGTATCTCTAAATTGCGTGCGTGAATTGAATTCAAGTTCCGTGCTTTAAACTGTTGCCAAGAGATTACCAGTTCGTCTGCAAAGAAATTTCTCAAAGATCAGCTTCTGTCTAGAGGAGGACTGCTTAGAGCCGGGTTGGATGATGTTGTGAGCGTAAAGAAAGACAGTGTCAACCAAGCTTTGAGGAAGTTTGCAAGCACACTGCATCTCACCCCTAGAATAGAGAAATCAGATAGCAAAACACAATCATTCATGACGGAAGGGTCTAAGCGAAGAGGCTATCGAGAAAGCCTGATGGTGTCTAATAATCCAAATAAAATTAGTGAGTGTAACAGCTTTCGTGGGATATCCCAAACAAATAGAATATAAGTTGCGAGACAAACACGGCTGTGTTTCACACGTTTGCAAGAAGTGCATACAGAGGTGAACTGTGAAGCACTGAGCAAATTTTGTGGTAAGCTAAATGTGCAGTCAGCATCATCAAGATCTGACTACGAATTGTGCGACGATAATGGCGCAGCGAAGAAGCCTGTAGTTTCACCGTGTAAGCCATTGTTGAATAGAGTGTCACAGACGACACCGAATTTTGTTCAGCAGAAGAGAGTAACAGGTCCAGATCCAGTTGTGACTGCTCGAGTTTACAAGGTAATACTAGT